AATTTTATTATTTTTTTGTATGTGTACCATCAAATCAGATCTGACTGGTACAGGAGGGGATTGTCCCTCCTTCCTCAACAGAGCATTTGGTGGTAGAGTTTTTTAAATTTTTAAAGGGAAAAATTGTACTACTTTTGTTACAAAGATTAAGTCTACTAAAGCACAAAATCTTAAAATCTCAAGAAACCCAAGGAATAAATATTTACTGCTAGATGGCATCTTCAAAGTGCTAACCAGATGTTCAACTACAGCAAGTGCCATGTTGGAATTTTTCATGCACTTTTCTTAGACAGAACGATATGACTGGAGCCAGACTTAGACGTCTGTACCAAGTAGCTGGGAACATACTTGTGTTCAAGCCAAATCCAGAAATAAATCCTAGTTTATGCAGGTTCAACCTGAGATAAACAGTATTTCAGGAAGACAACAGCCCAGGAGCCAGATCAATCAGAGAATGATGGAATGAAAATAAAGATATGACTGCAAATTTTCTCTTTTTACCACTAAAGTCGAAAGTTTTATCTGCATGTGAAAGTTTGACAAAGAATAAGGAAGGATGAAGGAGAATTGGTGCCTTTTGTTGTGGTGCGGGCAAAGAATATTGAATTAACCACAGACTGCCAAAAGAATAAACAAATCTGTCTTGGAAGATATGTGGTCAAAGTGCTCCTTAGAGGAGAAAGTGGTTTGTTTCACAAAAGCTGCTCCTCGGAGAAGGAAATCACTCTTGGGAAGGTGGAGGGATAGCGAAAGAGAGGAAGACTCTCAAGCAGGTAGACTGACACAGTGCCTGAAGCAATGGGCTCAAGTATGGCAGAGTCTGTGAAGATGACATAGGATAAGACAGGGTTGGGATCTGCTGTTCACAGGGTTGCTATGAGGAGTACTTGACTTGATGGCACCTAACAATAACAAGAAGTCTAACAGAAAGACCCCATGCTTGATAAAGTAAAGGGTCAGCAAAAAGAGGAAGACTCGGAATGAGATGGGCTAAGACAGTGGCTGCAATGGGCTTAAGAACTATAGAGGTTGTGAGGACAGTAGAGGATCTGGCAGCATTATTTTATTGTTCAGACAGTTGCTATGAGGCAAAGCCTATTTGGCACCACCTAATAACAATAAGGGCCAAGTCTTGATGCTGCTTCCAAGGACCCACAAGTATTCTGAAGAGTGAGCCAAGGACCATGAAATGACCCCAAACTGGACATTCTGTTATACCCAAGGTCACCATGAGTAGGAGCTGACTTGATGACAACTAATCACAGAAGTCCTGTGCAATAGTTTAAGAAGCAGCAGCTTAAAAATACTACACATTCTTTGGAGCTAATGTGTGGAAAATGTCAGCTGAGTGATGCAACCACCAGCTGTATTGCACACCCCATATAAGTCCGCACCATGGGAGCCTGACTATAGCTGGCCGTGCAGTCATTGCAGCTGTCCTTCCTCACCAGCTGCTGTGTCTGTCAGGGTGGTAGGGACCAGTGGATGGTTTAAGTCATCCACGCTATTTCCTGGTATAGAATGTGAGTAAGTACGCACCACAATGAACCTGAGCAGGATGTGAGTCAGAGTTAAAGGAACTATAAAGAGTTAAAAAGAACCAAGCTTCAAAGCATACTGAGGCCATCACGCCATGCTTCTCCATTGTAAAGGACCCACAGCTTGAAGGACACTTACACTTCCCAAGCTAAGGGGAAACAGAAAACGACAGCTGATTAGAAATGGCCAAAGGACTTCCAATGAAAACAAATGGGATGGCTGAAAGACAAAAACATCTAGAGATCTTAAAATGTGGAGGTAAAAAGAAAGGTTTACTATCAGGACCACATATTTCTCCTTTATATATTAGTGAGGCATGAATAAGTGAGAAAACTGTGGGACATGAATTTGCTTTCTTTCCTTTTTAAAAGAAAATATCTGTAGAGCAACCTTTCAGGGGTTAAATGAATGATCCTAAATTGGTTCTCAAAAGCAACCACACATATTATCAGTTCTAAGAGAAAAAGCTATACCAAAAAGATAATCACCTGTAGCACTGTCTGCAAAAGTAAAGCATTACTAACAACCACAATATCCATAACTGGGTAAATATCTTATGTTGTGTCCCTATGGGATACAAACAAAAAACCCTCAAACTCATTGTAGTCAGTCAGAACTGACTCACAGCTGAATCTCCATTGTCTGTCTGAATCTCTAAATCACACGAAGGATGCTGCCCATCTTTCTCCCCAAGTTGCTAGTGGATTTGAGCCGCCAGAGGGGTGTGACCTTTAAGTCAGCAGCACAGTTCACTATGGACTGTGCCACCAAAGTGCTCTGATGGAACACAGTTCAACTCAGCTATGAAAAGGAACGCTGTGATGGCAATATACTCTATCAACCTAGAAAGTCTTTATTCATGGTCTGAATGAATCCTTTACAACTACTTTTCATTACTTTTACAAGTGGAAACATCACCAATTCAGGTGTATGTAAGAGGGCAGAATAGTCCTGGCCTGGCTCCTTCTGTCCCTGCCATGTCCTCAGAAGCCTCAGGTGGTCTAATGGCACTGTAAACCCTCCCAGGCTCGGGATTACTGATTCAATCAGCAGCATGTTTCAACAGTGAGTACTCAGCGTGAGCGCTGACAGGGGCAGCAGCACGGGGACCTGAGCCTTCTGTGAAGCAGAGTGGGCATTTCCAAAATGTTGGGAGAAAGAGGGGCTTACTGGCCTAGCAAGAGCCCATGGGTGGTGCAAAGGTAACACATATGGCGGCCAACTGGAAGGTTGGAAATTCAAGGGAGCTCTGGTGGCTAGTGGTTAAAAAGCTCTGCTGAAATCCCAAAGGCACGCAATTTGAATCCACCAGCTGCTCTGTGGAAGAAGGGCAAGCAATCTCCTCCTGTCCCTCTGAATACCCACAGGAAGGTCAGCTATGAGTTAGTTCCCACTTGACAGCACATAACAACAACAACAAAACAAGAAGAAATAAATAAAACCCCCTAAGTAACGTGCATCTTCTTGGCTGCCCATCTAACTTTTTTCAGGGTTAGGTGGAGGATAGAAGGGTCAGCTGCTGAGTCACAGTGCACAAGCTGGACAGGGTTATTGTCTAAGCCTGCCTTCTGAAGGCTGAAGAAGCCCAAATGGCACTGCTCTTTACAAAGTGCTTTCTGTTCTTTGCAGCTCTCTCTGAAGCTCTGGCTTCCCCACCCTGAAGGTTCTGTTAGTCATTCCTACTAACTCTGTAGGTCCTCCCTCAAATGCTTTCTCAGGGAGCCCTTTCTAGCACCCTGAGGCTGGCTCCCTCCTGTCCACTCTGACATATGACACACATCTCGTAGTGCTTAACCCAGTTCTCATGTTTTATTTATTCACATGATAATTTGATTAAAGTTCATCTTCTTCAGTATAATATAAGCTCCTTGAGGCAGAAATAACATCTGGTTTTGCTGCCTCCCCAGCACATGGAACAGTGACTGGTGCAAAGCAGATGTTCACTAAGCTGTGTGAGGAGAGGATGCTGCCAGGCTCACCAGGTGGACCTTATTCCAGCGGGAAGGGAGGAAGCAGCAGCTGGGAGAGACGTCTGTCTTTACTATGACTAGCTTGTCTCCTTTATCTGTCAGATGCGTTCAACTAAGTAGTGAGCAAGAGATTTGCTGCTTCTTCTGGGGACACTTACAACTGAAGATTTATCTAAATGGGTGTTGCAGTAGATACTAGTGTTTAGAGGAAGTAAGAGGTTAGAGCTACAACTCTGGAAAGTTTCTCAGTTGGAATGGCAAAGTCTTTGATGCTATTACTTTGTGGCTGCTTCCTGGTGTGTGTGTGGGGGGGTTGCCTTTATTTGCCAGGGTTGCTAAAGGGAGCTGTAGGTGCCCTGGGTAAAGGCTGCCCTGCAAGATGGTGGCTAGACTACAACAGGAGACACAGATCCCTGCCAATATCAGAGAGAGTCCAGGGCAGCACCAGGGGAGGGACAGTGTCGGGGGCAGGCAAACCACTGACCTCGGCTGATGCGCTGCTTCTCTCCAGACAGGATGCCGGGACTGTCAATGATGCTGATGCTCTTCAGGACCTGGTTGGGCAGCTGGGAACACATGAATCTGGAAGAAATGGATCAGAGGTAGGGTCAGAAACACGCATCACAGAGCGCTCTAACCACAGAGCTCCTTGGCCTCTCTGTTTTTACTGATGCCATTTGGTTTTTTCTCTTTTTTAAAAAATTAATTTTAATGATAGTTTACAGAGACTTTGAATTCCCATTCATTGTTGCACAAACTGATACCATTGTAAAGAGAGTTTGCACATGACTGATGCAGAAAATAAAAGTGGTGCATGAGGTGGGGGTAGGTGGGAGGAGGGAAGCTCTAGGACTTGCTGTAGCCCACCACCACATCCCTATTTGTTTATTTTTATCTCTGCTAACATGCTGATGGCTTAGTGTTAAGGAGTTATGCTGCCAACCCAAAGGTACATGGTTTGAATCTACTGCCTGGTCTGTGGGAGAAAGATGAGCAATCAACTCATATACAATTACCTCTGAAAACCTGCTGGGGGTCAGCTGTGAGTTGGTCCTAACTCAATGGTACATAACAACATCATATATTGAAGGAGTTTTTTAAAGAGTGCTAACCAAAAGGTCACTGGTTTGAACCAGCCATCCTGTGGGAGAAAAGACCTAAAAGACTTGGTGACCTGTTCCTATAAATATTACAGCCTTGAAAACCCTATGGGGTAGCTGGACCCTGTCCCATGGGATTGCTAAATGAGGACTGACTCAGTGACACAAAATAACAATCAAGTAGTAAATATCTTGGGATTTCACAAACACCTCATTTAATGCTCACATTACTCTCATGAGAAAGAAACAGTCATTAACTTCAGAACACAAAGTGCTCAAAATGACAGGGTAACTAACTGGCTCAGGGTCTCCAAGTTGGCCCCTCCTCCATGTTGCTTTTTGTCCAAGTGTCAGGCCTTCTGCTTCTAGGGGATCCCATGTCTCCTTTAAGGTACACTGGCTCTTAGACTAGAGCATACAGACCCTGTCCTGGTGAAAGCCTCACAGGAAGCAGGGCATGTGGGAGGAAAATGCAGGCCCATGGGTCAGGAGCCCTCGTTCTGGTTCATTTAAAGCTTTACCAATAATTTGCTGTGGAAAACTGGACAATGGCTTCCCTACTCTGAGCCTCAGTTCCCTCATACAGAATAGATTTGGACCAGACATTAAAACTGTCTTTTTTAGCTTTGAGTTAAGGGGCTCTGTGAATAATAGAGGGGAGTACTCTGCTCCTTCCACTAGGCCACAGAGCCTGCCCTGGGACTTTGTCTGGACCGTGTATGCTTTAAAGTGGAAGCTGCAGAAGTCTTCTCCTTTCCCTGTCTTTCAATGGTCAGTTTCTCTCTGTGTGTGGGAGAAGCCTGAAAATATGCAGCGAAAGCTCAATCATTCCATTCAGTGGGACTGGATGGGATTACTCAGGAAGTAACTATGCTGGGCATGCAGGACAGAAAGGTCTGCCTGGCTCTTGTGTGCACATGCGGACAGTATGGCTGGGTGGGGGCAGGGGACAATGACAGAGTGGGGGGGGAATAGATGAATGACAGTATGGCAGGGTGGTGGCTGAGGCTAATGACAGTGTGGGGACAGGGGTCAACAATGAGGATGACAGGGTGGGGCAGAGGCTGATGACAGGGTGGGGGACAGAGACCAAAGATGGGGTAAGTATTCCTGAGAGAGGCAACTACTGGCATTTCAAAATTACTTTGTTAGATGGTGCTCAGGACAAATTTCTCACACATTCTTTTCTGTACTTTCAAATTAGTCCAGGAAGCAATTGAAAAAGATATTACAATCATTTTGCAGTCAGAAAAATGGAAGCATGAAGCAGTCATGGCACCTTGAGGTCACCCAACTGACACCTGGCTGGGTGGAGTTGACAACCTAATGCCTGTGAAGCCAGTGGAGCAGAACTCAACCCACACAGTAAAACACCTCATTAACATTAAAAATAAAGGGTCAGCTGATGAGAAGCTCCTCACTTCTGATCTCCTCCTGACCTTTTGATGCCTCTGACCTTTAAGCTAACCCCACTGTCCAACACTGAGTAAATCATGGGTCACAGAGCAGCCTTGTCTAAACTCATGGAGGGAGAACACCCTGCCTGCATTCTCCAGACTTGGGGCAGGAAGAGCTCTGAGCGCGGCGTGGTGGACCACAGCTCTGGCCAGTCTGCCTTAGTCTCTTATCACGGGGCTTGCTTTTTTATTATTAGTCTGAGGCATTTGGCAGTGCTAAGAGAGTTGCACATACATGAGACTGTTTTACACAAACTATTACTGTGGAGAGGCTGATCTTCCTCCCAAATTACCAGCTTGCACTCAATATCAAGTTTTCCAAAACACAAAACTCCTACATTCTGAGGGGTGAGGCTAAGAAAAGGCATTCAAAATCTATAAACTGTTCTCTCCCTCTGTGCAAAGCATTTCAACACCCCTGGGCCTCCTGTCCAAGCACTGGCAAAATGTATGAACCACAAACCAGACGCAGCCAAATGTAGTGACATCACTCATACGAGTGAACAGAAGGGTAACTAGAGGAGGAGGAGGAGGAGGAGGAGAAGGAGGAAGAGGAGGAAGCGGAGCAAGAAGACCTCTAAGTTCACTTGGAAAGATAGTGTTTGTGCAAAGACATGTGTGCAACTCCCTTCCACAAAAAAAGGCTGAGCACAGGGCATCTAGACACCCAGGGGTATGTCTAACACCCACAGGGTTAGAACCACAACCAATGTTTGCTTAAAAATGTTTGTAGAAAAAAATCCCACTAAATGGGTCTTCCATTTATGCTTTAAGAAAGGAAGCTGAGGGGAGTTCTGGTGGCCTAGTGGCAAGAAGCTGCACTGCAATCCCAGAGGAGCACGGTTCGAATCCACCAGATGCTCTGCCGGGAAAGGAGGGACAATCTCCTCCTGTACCAGTCAGGTCTGATTTGACGGTACACACACACACACACACACACACACAAATAATAAAATAAAAAAAATTAAAAAAAAGAAAGGAAGCTGAAAAGCAGGGCTGTTTCTTTTGCACGTCAAACTGGCCTTCAGTTAGGCTGCTGAAACATTTCCAAACACGGTCTTTCCTTTCCAAGATGAAGCTCTCACTTCTTCCAAAGATGAGGCTGACATAACATGTTCATTGTGCCTTCTATGTTTCTCATTAAACACACTGTAATACCCAAGAGTCGTATTTTCTTTTTAAAAAATATAATATTGTGGGGGTTTTCTTGGTTTTAATTTTATTATGGTGACATATATTTAATAAAACATTTGCCGTGTGAACTATTTCTTACCATAATGAAGTGTCTCCCTCACAAGAGGCTGATCCAATCCATTTTGTATTCTGAAGTAAAGGTGGTGGGAGTGATGGGTTGAGTGATAGGCTGAGATCCTATAGTGAACCTGCACTCCATGTCTCCTCTACATTGCAGGCAGTGGCAGAAAGCGGAGGCCGAAGTAATGGTCTCAGCTGCATCGCCTCTAAGGAGACTGCTGGGCATGTGGCACAGTAACACAATGGGTGAGAAGATTACATTACTCAAATTTTCTCCCAGAGTCCAATTCAAACTCAATGATCAATATTTTAAAAATGAAGTAAACTGTAACTTATGACTCTGATTTCTAAACAATGACTAATAATAAAATAGCATAGTAATAATAAACGTACTTACTATATTCAGCAGGTACTGTTTTAAGTGCATTAGCTAATTTAATCCTCACCACACCCTTGGAGACAGGGCTGTGGACAGCTGTTTTAGAAGGGAGGAGATGGGGACACGGGGTGGTAGATCTGCCAAGCCATCTGGCTGATAAGCAATGGAAGCCTAACAGGACACGAGACTGGCTGCTTTGACTCCAGGTTCTAAACTACTAGGCTACTCCTATCATTTTAGGCATTTGATTCCTGTGGTTTTCCTTTAGCTTAGACAGAAGTCAACATTCTAAAACAAGCCAAAGGGCTGATTAGTCAGAGCTCTGGATTTTCCCCCTGGATGCCATGAAGTCAACCACATGTTCGAGTAGAACTATGTTCCATAGGGTTTTCACTGGCTGGTTTTTCAGAAGTAGATCACCAAACCTTTCCCGCCACCCTTCACCCAATATACAGGTGCCTCCTAGTAGACTCAAACCTCTAATCTTTCACTTAGCAGCAGACCTCCCTAACCACGTTCACCACCCAGGGAAGGTGCTTTCTTGTGCAGCTGGCTCTTCACCTCTTGGGTGTGGAAGGTGAAACAATGAACAGGAGACAGATCTGGGCTCTAGGCTGGCCTCCTGCTCACCCTGCAGCAGTCTCTGAGGACTCCCAGGCTTGTCATAGTTGCTGGGTGTCATCGAGTCCATGCTGATTCAGAGTGACTCTGTGGGACCAGGTACAACAGTCCACAGAGTTCCCTAGGCTTTAATCTTCACATCACCAGGTCTTTCTCCTACAGAGCTGTTAGGTGGGTTCTAACTGCTCACCTATGGGTTAGAAAATGAGGATACTTAACCACTGTACCGCCACAGTCTCCTTAGGTTTGCTATTAGTCCATCTAAGAGCACAGAGCAGAGATTACGTAACTTCCTAAGTTTGCACAGTGAATAGGACATGATACACAGACAATGAAACTGTGAAGTGAATCAAGGAAGGGATATTTATTTATGCAAAGTCCTACCAGAAGTGACTGCTCAAACCCTTGACTGTACAGGAAAAATTTCTTAAAGGTCCGAGTGACTCTTAGGAGTCTATTTTGAAAAGTTATATATTTTAATGGTTATGTATTAGCAATTTCATATGGTTCAAACTAAATGCAAATTTAGAAATTCAGCCTCTCCTACAGTCCACAAAAGTGCCTGTCTGGGGCGATGTGCCTGAGCCCAGGGAAAAAATGCAGTTTTCTGGAATCTTAGCACCAGGAATGCAGAAGTAGCTTAAGAAAAGAATGATTAATCCTCACCACAACCCTTAGCCTAAAGGTGAATGGGAAAAGAATCGAGTTTTTTTATGGGTAAATGCAACACGATGAAAACCAATTATCCCCTTCATATTAAAAAATCAACCA